TACCACTTGAGCTATAGCGCCACTTCCGGTTTTCTGGTGGTTTATTGGAGATAGGAGTCTCATGGTCTCTCCTGCCCGGGCTGGCTTTGAACCGCAATCCTCAGATCTCAGCCTCCTGAGTAGCTAGGATTACAGGCGTGAGCCACCAGCGCCCGGCTTTCTTTCTTTTTTTTTTTTTAAGGTGAAGTTTTCCTATGTTGCCTAGGTTGACCTTGATTGCCTGTTTTATTTTTATTATAAAGGTGATATGCAGAGGGGTTACAGTTACATAAATCAGGTAGAGTATATTTCTTTTTTGGGACAGTTGTTACCCCTTCCCTTGCTGTTCCAGTTTTTCTTTCTCATTCTCACTTGGAAGTTGTATAGTTCATTTTCAACATAGTGTCCACTGAAGTAAATGCCTTTTTTTTTTTTTTTTATTTTGCCAGTCCTGGGGCTTGAACGCAGGGCCTGGGCACTGTCCCTGAGCTTTTGCTTAAGGCTAGTACTCTGCCACTAGCCACAGCACCGTTTCCGGCTTTTTCTGTTTATGTGGTTCTGAGGAATCAAACCCAGGGCTTCATGCATGCTAGGCAAGCACTCTACCACTAAGCCACATTCCCAGCTTGAGTGCCTATACTTCATGATTTTCCCTAGTCTCTCCCATACCATGGTACCTGGCTTTATTTATTTATTTATTTGTCTATCTATCTATCTTAATTGCTCCATCCTGGACTGATTTCTTGGTTGATACTGGGGCTTGAACTAAGACTGTCTCTTGCTGGTAGAAGTTAGAGTTTTATTTGTGCCAGTCCTGGGGCTTGAACTCAGAGCCTGGGCACTGTCCTGAGATGGTGGTGGTTGTTTTCTCCTTAAGGCTAGCCTTCTGCTTGAGCCAAAGCTCTACTTCTGGCTTTTTGGTGGTTATTTTAAGACAAGAGTTTCGTAGACTTACCTACCTCACTGGCCTTGAACTTCAGTCTTTAGATAGGGATCCTGAGGTCCTCAACTCAGCCACCTGAGTAGCTAGGATTAATTTGGAGATAGAGTTTTCATATTTATGCCCATGCTGGCTTTGGACCTAGATCCTCTGGATTTTAGCCTCGAGAGTAGCTAAAATTACAGGGGTGAGCCACTGGTGTCATGCAGTAGGGTAATTTTGAATAGTTTTGCTAATAAAAATTTGAAACTGGGAAGTTTGATTTTTTTTTTCCTTCATTTTCAATAATGTATTTCAGGCTTCTTGGAATCCTTTGTGAATTTGAGGATTAGCCTTCAGTTTCTGCAAAAAAAGCCCATTGAAGTTTTGAGAAGTAGTGCATTCAATCTGTAGACTAGGTAATGTAGATTCCTGTGGTATTAGATTTTCCAGTTCAGCAACACATAGGTCTATTGGCTTTTCTTTATTTTTTTTGAGCATTGTTTTGTAATTTTTAGGGTATTTTCACCTGTCTGATTAACTTTATTGGAAGCTGTTGTAATCTTTTAGATGCTATTATGAATAGAACTGCTGTCTTTCCTTCATAATGTGATGTATGATTTTAATTTTTTTGTTTTATCATCACACAATTTACAGATTTTTACTATTATATATCTCTTCTACTTTAGTCGTTCTAATTAGTTGACAAATCCACCTATATAGTAGTTGTACCCTGTGTCTTTCACATATACTGGGCAAGCACTGTGTCATGGAGCTATGTCCTCAGTCCCTCAAATGTCCTTTTTTTTTGGTGCCAGTCTTAGGGCTTGAACTCTGGGCACTGTCCCTAAGCCTGGGCACTGGCCCTGAGCTCATCAGCTCAAGGCGAGTGCTCTACCACTTGAGCCACAGAGCCACTTCTGGTTTTCTGGTGGTTTATTGGAGATAAGAGTCTCACGGACGTTTCTGCCCAGGCTGGCTTTGAACCATGATCCTCAGATCTCAGCCTCCTGAGCAGCTAGGATTACAGGCGTGAGCCACCAGCGCCCAGCTTTTTTTTTTTTCTTCCTCAAGGTTAGCACCTTACCACTTGAGTCATAGCTCTATTTGTAGCTTTTTTTGGTAGAGGTAAGAGTCTCTTGCACTTTACTTCCTGGGCTGGCTTCACACCTCGGTCTTCAAATCTCAGCCTCCTGGATAGCTAGGATTATAGGTGTGAGCTATCAGTGCCTGGCTTTCAAATGTCTATTTTGATTTTTTTTTTTTGGTATGGGGGGGGTTGGACGTGGGTAGGAAGTAGCAGGAGGTCGGATGATAAGAACAAAACGATCCCATTTCTTTTTTTTTTGGTTGGTCGTGGGTCCTGAACTCTGGGGCCCTGTCCCTCAGCTCTTCAGCTCAAGGCAAGCTCTCTACCGCTTGAGCCACAGTGCCACTTCTGGTTTTCTGAGTGGTTTATTGGAGATGAGAGTCTCACGGATGTTCCTGTCTGGGCTGGCTTTGAACTGTGATCCTCAGGTCTCAGCCTCCTGAATAGCTAGGATTACAGGCGTGAGCCACTGGCGTCAAGCTATTTTCAAATCTTAATTGTCAAGTCTTCAGTCACCTGAATAGCTAGGACTATAGACACCTGGTACCTTTTATTTCTAATAATCTATCAGGGAACAAACACCTCATGGTCTTCTAAATCTGACTTCAGTAGCCAACAACCCACTGGTAGATAAATTGCCCTCCACAGGGATAGGAAGAACAACCAAAAGACCAAAATGAGTTTGTGAATTAGTGGCTACTGAAAGCCTGTTGTAAACTTTCTGACTTTTGTTTGTTTGTTTTTTGGGGGGAGGGGTACTGATTCTGGGGCTTGAACTCAAGGACTGGGCACTGAATTTTTTGTTCAAGGCTAGCATTCTACCACTTGAGCAATAGCTCCACTTCTGGCTTATTTGGGTAGTTAATTAGAAATAAGTCTCATGGGCTTTTCTGTAGGGGCTGGCTTCAAACTGTAATCCTCAGAATCTCAGCTTCTTTACTAGCTAGAGCCGCCAGCTCTAGCTGAGCCACCAGTACTCAGCCTTCTGACAGCCATCTTGCTTAAAACTATATAGGTCAGGAAGATAAGAAGGCTTCATTTTTACTGTTTATATTAATACTGAAAATTAGGTTAAAACATTTTCTTGGGAACAGTTTTGGGATTTGAACTTGGGACTGTGTGCTTGGTAGGCAAACACTCTACTATTTGAGCCACATACATCCCAATTCTTTTTGCTTTAGTTTTTTTATAGAGAACCTGGGCTAGCCTTGCACCATGATTCTTCTGCCTTCAACTGGGGAACAGCTTGGATTACAGGCTTACATTACCACATAGGGCTTATTTGTTGAGATAATCTTGTTGTGTGTCCCCACCCTCCTTCGCCTCTAACTGAAGTCCACCTCCCAAATACCTGGAGTTAAAGGATCTGGTGTTACAGGTTATAGAGTAGCAGACTGATTTGCTACTATCAAGACCAGAGACTTTAACATTCTGTCTGCTACACTAAGGTTTTCAATTTTTCCTGAGCTTGACCTAAGACATCTGTGTTATGTTACTGTTTTGGCAGATATACTAGTCTCAGTTTACCTCTCTAGTGTAGGAGGAATGTGAGGTGGGGGCCTTTCACTTATTTTATATTTAATCTAACTCTTCACTGTGCCAGACTAGAGTCATACTCAACAAGATCTTAACAAGGTCTGCTAACTGTGATATCATCAGGATAGTTCTTGGGCACTTTACTAATCTACCTTTGTTGAAGTTTTTCATTCTAACAAGAATACTGGACAGAAATTTACCATATCTGTACCTGCTTTTGGTCTTTTCTTTTTAGGGGAAGCAGTGCTGGTTTTTTAACTCAGGGCTTTGCATTTGCTTGGCTTAAGGCTCAGCTGGCACTCTACCATCTTTCAGCCTTTTTTTCTGTGTTGGTACAATATCTTGAAAGCAGGGCCTGTGCTTTCGGTTTGCTTATGACTGGCATTCTACCACTTGACCTATACCTCCAGTCCAGCCCTGCTTTTTTTGAGAGGGAAAGTCTAGCAGATTTAAAAGCTCAGGGCCATGGCTTGTAACCATGATTCTCTGGATCTCAGCTTACTGAATAAGCTAGGATTTCAGGTGTGAGTTTTTGAACCTGGTTTTGGACTCTCAGGGCTATATTACTAGTTAGATCCATTTTGTTTGTACTTACTGACTGAACTGTAATATGCAAGGGTCACATATATGTTGCTGTACATTACAATATGCAAGGCATATTGCGAGAAATTTGCTTTCAAATGTAGTGGCAAGCAAAAGTATAATATGGGTTATCTTATGCTCAGATGAAATCTATACCGCATGATTTTTAGGTTTCCAAATCTGATAAGCATCATTAACTTTTATATCTGCTTTTCTTGCTATTCTTGAATTTACTTTCTGTTTATAACCCTAGGAATTAACAAAAGTTTCATGACTTTAGAGCTTATATGCATTTAACCTTTTACATTAAAAAATTATTAACCTGGGCTGGGAAGGTAGTTCATTGGTAGAGTGCTTGCCTTGCATGCATGAGGCCCTGGGTTAGATTTCTCAGCACCACATAAGCAGAAAAAGCCAGAAGTGGCACTGTGGCTCACGTAGTAGAGTGCTAGCCTTGAGCTGAAGAGCTGAGGGACAGCGCCCAGGCCCAGAGTTCAGGCCCCACGATCAACCCCCCAAAAAAGAAATTATTAACCTTATTAGGAGACAGTTTGTCCCTTTGAAAAAGTTGTACACAGTATTTCAAAATATGAAAAGTAAAAACCATTCTTTTTTTTCAGAAGTCAATGAAAGGATTCTATTTTGCAAAGCTATACTATGAAGCTAAAGAATATGATCTTGCTAAAAAGTAAGTGCCAAATTACAAAGTCATGAGCTAAAAACACTTTTTCTAAAGATTGTTCTGTTTTAGAATGAAAAGATATTTATCTCTTTTTTCTATTTATCTAGTACATATGCTGGAAAAGAGTAATGTATTTAAGATTAAACTATGATTACTGGATGGGAGGATAGCTTATGTAATGTCTTTGATTCATAGTTGATATTTTGAGGTTCTGTCTCACCAGTATGGTAGGAAATTGTGATTCTGATTTCCTAGAGCAGCTTAAAGCAGGAAATTAGAAGGGAGGCAGATTACTAAAAGCATTGATGGAAGAGAAAAAAGCTAGTAAAAAGGAGAATGGGGTGAGGATGTAGCTTTAGTTTCATCAGAACAGTTCATGAGCCATTTGATTGCTTTTAGAAAATCTTAGTCACTATCCTATTTTGTTCAATTTCTTCACTTTAATGTATGTATGTATGTACTCTGGATTAGATCCCTAGCAAACCTCTTTCACCCACAAATAAGGGGAAATGATAGTATCTTATCAAACTAGCAGTATTGGAACTATTAAAAATTGTTCCTTGTTAATATTGAGGCTTTTTCTCTCTTGTTTTGTTTGGTCTTTGATCGAGTTTCTTTTTTGATAACATTCCTGAACCTGGAATTTATTTTAAGTTGTTTCTTGACTTGAGAAACAAGTTATTTCTACTTGGTATTGTAGCTAGTAATTTTCTTTGAAATTATTTTCTTGTTTAAAGAATAGATAAGTTCTCTTAGTTGTTACTTGGGAAACTATTTTGGTGTTATTATTATGTATTATGAGAATAGTACAAACCGTTACTGTAGTTTGTAGATTGTAATTACTTTTCTTACTTAACATTCAAAAATCTTTTACCAAGTGCTTTACCAAATGGGATTGGGAAGGAAAGGTAATTTATATGTTCATGTCTTATGTGTAAGCACTAGAAAAAACTCTTGGCAAATGATAGCATTCAGTGGTTAAGTATGTTATCAACTCTATTATTTTAAGTGTTACTCTTTTGAGTTGTCTGCATGTTACATTTTAAGTAAATAATGGTAATTTGTAATTGAATACCAATAAGAATATTTTTTGATTTCTTTGGTGTATAATGTACTTTTTATTAGCATTCAAGTACAGTTGTAAGTTTAAGAATCTAAAAATGGTTTTTGAATTCCTATTTTTCAACAGGTATATATCTACATATATTAATGTGCAAGAGAGGGACCCGAAAGCTCACAGATTTCTGGGTCTTCTTTACGAGGCAGAGGAAAACACAGACAAAGCTGTTGAATGTTATAAGGTAATTACAGGATTAAAATCAGACTATCTATAGCCCAACACATGACATCCAAAGTAATTTATGTAATGAATAATTCAGATTTGTTTTATGGATATCATGAAAATAAGCATTGGTATCATAGTACCATTAAGTGAGACAGAGTGAAACAGATTTTAACAAGTTTAAAATAACTTATCTTCTGGACAGTAGAATTGCTAACATTAGTAATTGTTTTAACCTTTCTGTGGCTTTTAAATCATGTACAATATACATTGTTTACTAATTTGTTTCTTTTCTGATGTTAGCGTTCAGTGGAGTTAAACCCAACACAAAAAGATCTTGTACTGAAGATTGCAGAATTGCTTTGTAAAAATGATGTGACTGATGGAAGAGCAAAATACTGGGTTGAGAGAGCAGCTAAATTTTTCCCAGGAAGTCCTGCAGTTTATAAGCTAAAGGTAAACAAACCAAACCTAACAAAAGGCAAAAGTTAAGACACATGATTTTTAATTTGTGTGTGTGTGTGTGTGTGTGTGTGTGTCTGTCTGTCTGTCTGTCTGTCTTGGGGCTTGAACTCTGGGCTTGGACGCTGTCCCTCAGCTCAAGGCAAGCACTCTTATCACTTGAGTCACAGAGCCACTTCTGGTTTTTTGATGGTTTATTGGAGATTAGAGTTTCACATAGTTTCCTGCCTGGTCTGGCTTTGAACCTCTATCCTCAGATCTCAGCCTCTTGAGTAGCTAGGATTACAGGTGTGAGCCACCAGTGTCTGGCTTTAATTTTGTTTTTTTATTACCAGTCCTGGGGCTTGGACTCAGGGCTTGAGCACTGTCCTTGAATTCTTTTGCTCAAGGCTAGCATTCTACCACTTGAGCCACAGCGCCACTTTGGCTTTTTCTGTTTAATTTGGAGTTTAAATTACTTCTTAGTAGCAAACTTTTAAGTCAAGGACTGTGTATTTATGGTTTTTTTTCCTCCTAATCTCTTAAAATCATTTAATGTTTTATTAGTCACTGTAAACTTTTACAGATGTATCATTCTGGAATTATATAGATTTTTTTTACACTTTTGTAGCTAATAGGGAGCTAAGATTTAAATTAAGATCTGGTACACAATTTTTGCTTTATTAAGTAAAAATTGTTTACATGTTCAAAGTTTAGAGCTAGTATGGAGAATATTCTACTAACTTACCTAAAAATAGAAAAGATGATCTTAAGTGTGAAGTTCTTTTTGTTTTTTGGTTTTTTTTTTTTGGCCAATCATGTGGCTTAAACTCTGGGCCTGGGTGTTGTCCCTCAGCTCTTCATTTCTAGGCTAGCACTCTACCACCTGAGCCACAGGGCCACTTCCAGCTTTTTCTGCTTATGTGGTACTGAAGAATTGAACCCAGGGCCTCATGCATGGAAGGCAAGCACTCTACCACTGAGCCACGTCCCCAGCCCCAGAAGTGTGAAGTTTTCATGCAAAACATAGAAGACAACTTTCTCTATTATGTTAGAAGTAATACTGATCTTTTTAAGTTTTTTTTTTTTCTCTTTTAAGAGTATCACTGTTAGGTAGCCCAGACTGGTCTAAATCCTCCTGACTCAGCCCCTCTAGTGTTGAGTGCTGGGATTACTTGATCACACTGAGCTTTGATTGTTGTTCTTTGTTGACTAAAACAGTTTACTGATTAACTCTTGGAAAAAGTCTTTCAGGAATTTTAAATACATATTGTTTTATTATATGTGTAATGTATGCATACACTGTTAAATATGTACAGTATTTGTTTTTTTTTGGGGGGGGGTCCAGTCGTGGGGCCTGAACTCTGGGCCTGGGCGCTGTCCCTCAGCTCTTCAGCTCAAGGCTAACGCTCTACCACTTGAGCCACAGCATCACTTCCTGCTTTTTTTCTTTTTGCTTATGTGGTACTGAGGAATTGAACCCAGGGCCTCAGGCATGCAAGGCAAGCGCTCTACCACTGAGCCACCTTCCCAGCCCCAAATATGTACAGTATTAAGTGGAGTAAAAGATATGTATAATCTTTTGCTTTTAGCTGTCCCCACACATTTTGCCAGTATATATGTTTCTGATAGGATTTTTTTTCTTTTTTTGCCTGGAGCTTTAACTCAGGAAGTAGGCACTGTTCTTGAACTTCTTTTTTTTTTTTTTTTTTTTGGGTCCGGTCGTGGGGCCTGAACTCTGGGCCTTGGCGCTGTCCCTCAGCTCTTCAGCTCAAGGCTAGCGCTCTACCACTTGAGCC